ACAGATACTATTAAAAAAATAAATAAGGTAAACTTATAATCAAATAAATTATATTACAAGCAAAGATTAGATGGATTGTATTGCTGTGGTGGAAATTCAGCACGGTAGTGTGATACTGCATGCCCTTTCCTATTCTATGGTGTCACGCTGGCTTGAACCATGGTGGCTTGCACTTAGGCATGGTGGTGTATTTACACTTTGAAAGTCAGCACATCCTACGAATCAGGGCTTGGTTCATTGTTTTGTTGATTGTCTAGAGTCCAGACTTAATAAAGTGACGGAGAAATATTAATAATACAGATTAAAGGTGTGTCAGGTCTGTAGCTGTTACATTAGGAATAGCATAAAAAATTGAGAAAATATTCAAAATTATTATTCTATTCAGCAAGAAGTTGCCCCCTTCATTGATGAAGGAGTGAAGTTCTGACAGGAGCTGTGTGTTGCTGTTTTACTGCTAAAAGAAAGTGGTAGGTCCAGAATGGTCCCTCACAGTCAGAATGCAATGCTCTATAGTCCCTAAAAAATAAATGGCATCATGAGAGTGCTATGTCCAGACTCTGCACGCTGAAACATGCTCCTCTATGCTAAGGCCTAAGTTTTCAGATGTGTGACATCGTGTAGATAAACCAGATAGATTTTAACTTGGGGAAAAGTGTGAATCCTAGGGCCTGTGCAATAATCACTAACTCAAGATTGGAATTTAAAGGAAATAGACAAAGTAGGTTTTGTTCCTCTGTACTGGTGGATGACTTATATATCATGTACTGTTATGAACTAAATTGTGTTGCCCCAAAATTCGTATTTCAAAGTCCTAACCCTCAGTACCTCAAAATATGACTATATTTGGAGCTATGATCTTTAATATGATAATTAAAGTGAGGTCACTAGGGTGGGCCCTAATCCAGTATGACTTGTTTCCTGAAAAGAAGTGATTAGGGCAGAGATGCTTGCATGGAGAGAGGACCATGTGAAGACATAGAGAAAATATGGCCATCTACAAGTTCAGGCCTGGACTAGATCTTTACTGATGGCCCTCAGAAGAAACCAGCACTCCAAACAACTTGATCTTGGCTTTCTAGCCTGCAGAATTGTGAGAAAATAAATTTATGTTGTTTAAACTACTCCCTGTGCAGTACTTTGTTATGGCAACTATAGCAAACTAATACAGTTACCCTCTAGTGTTGTGGATGGTTCACACATTCATGGTACATAATACTTTAAACTTGTAGTATCAATCAGTCATTGCCACAGCAATAATGTGCACATATCACTCTCAAACTTAGTAGCATACAACAACAAATGCTGTTTTTCACCCATGGTTTAATGGATCAGCTTGGACGACTCTGCTGCAGCCTGTGGTGTGAGTGGGATAGCTCTACTCATTCTGGGGCCAAGTTGATAGTGACCATCTTGGAAAATTCTTCTCATGGCAACAATAGAAGTGCAAGATAGCAAGCCTAATTGCACAAGCATATTTGAGCTCTTCACTCAAACATGTCCTGTAATGTCCTATTGATCAAAGAAAGTCATATGGCCAAGCTCAATGACAATGAATGGGGAACATACTCAGAGTACCAAGAGGCAATGGCATTCATTTAAATACATAATAAAGGGTAAATGAAGAGTTGGAGACAAAAATTCGCTGTATGACACTATGCAGAGGCAGGAGGCTGGATATGATGACCTTTTAAGGCCATTTCTCTCTAAGATATATGGTTCTATGACTTATAGTCTACCATTATTGAGAGCTTACTATGTACCAGACCCTCATCTAAGTGCTTTACAATGGTTATCTGATGAAACCACACAGACTGGTAGCTTATTATAAACAATATCTTGCATGACCTAATTAAGTGTAAGATGATGAACCCTGGTGTGACACATCAGATGGTAATTTACTGTTCACAAACACTTCAAGTACAGACTGCGAGTGAAGGTGCATAGACATCCCATGCAAGGCAAAGCATCCACAAACAAGCCAACTCATTGGTAAATGGCATTGTGTTTGTTTTGACGGTTTTTCCTAACTCAAAGTGCAAGGCACAAAATAAACACACAATTCGGATTGTACCTCCAAATGGACACTTACCTCTCAAGATTTATCATAAATGAAGTTTCATAAGATACTGTCACAGCTAAGGCTATATAAGAACTCAATGGCTTGTGATTCCAAGGCAGTGATGCTGGTGGTAGGAAGGCTAGATGTGGCCTAGGTGACCCTTCTAATACAGTTCCACACGTGTCAACGCCTACACCTGTGGCTCAGGACAGTGTCTAATTCTTGCCTAGTATGCCAAACCATGCTAAGTGGTCTTAGTAAAGGAATTGAGATTCAAGAATGTTATTGGGTACTTCCTAAAACTGACTCTCATTGACCCAAATTCCATGCCTATTCTCTTAAGAAGGATGTATAACCATTGCTGTGTCTTAGCTTTGAAGACACAGAAAAGTAGAAATAGGTTTATTTTCACTCCTACTCTAGAAACCCTATTGAATCTCATTCAGAAACAGAAATTAGGTATTATGATAGATAACTATGTGAAATGCCCTTTTCTAAAATAGCAAATGTCAGTGCTTCGAGGATGTGTGGCATCAAGATGACTATGTATGTTTGATTGTGGCATATAAATTAGATAATAGTAACTAAGTCAAGAATTTGGTATAAGAAAAGTATTTACAATCTGTAAGTCTGTTCTTACGTACTTATTACTAATGATTGTTATTTACCAAATAATACCAAAAATTGCTTTTCATGTTAATCACCATGCATTTATAAATTTTCAACTATGCTTATATCTCTGGCCCATATTTGATCCCTATGATAAAGAAGGTGGATTTGTTTCCATGTGATAGAAATAGATGGGGATCGAGAAAGTGATGACACTTAGTGTAGGTCAAATGACAATTCAGAACTTAGGAATGGCTGGAACCTTCACTTTTGTAACAGTCATTGAGAGAGAAGCTGCCTAACAGTCCTTCACACATGTTGATTCATCCCAGGCCAGGTTGTTTACACTGTAAAATTTAGAAAGTTGATCTGTGAAATGGCCTTCAGGGCCTCAGTGGAGATTTCTCAAAGACAGACTGAACTCCATATCTAACAGTGTTTCACAACGTGTGACCACTCCAACATCCAGATGTTGCACTCGGAACCTTGTTCGATCTTCCAGTTTGGGGCAATTTGACACCCTAACAGGGAGTCACCTTGGTAAATGACTTCATGTAGATTGTTCTTACAATACATACTCCTGCTGACAAAGAAAACAAACCTGAATGAAAACAAATCTGAACAAAAACTATGCCAGAGCAGGTGTTCTGGTTGTTGGAGAAAAGTCATTAGAGTGACATTACTCAGTCACTTTGTTCCTCTTATAATAATATATTATTTATTAAAGCATTGCTTTTCTTCTGTGTAATTTTTGATAAATTTCACATCTAACATTTATTGAGAAGGTGCTTGCAGAACGTGAAACAGAAATCTTAATTCTGTTTTGAATAGACTGTCAGAAGCTTATTTCGAAACCAACATAACTTTAAGCAAGATGCTTCTGACACTTCTTTTATTTGGGTCTCTCAAACCCAAAATGTTGCATTTGAAGAGATCAGAGAGTATTGAAACAAAAACAAACAAACAAACAAACAAAAAACCCCTATTTCTCATGTTGGTCTATTGAAAAATCTGAAGAGTATATGCTTTAAATGACTCTGTGGCTACTTTAATAAGCAGACCAAACACACACATTTATGCCAGAGCCTTTTCTTCTAGCACAGAAGGAGCACTGATACAGCAGAATGCCTTTCCCTCATCATACCAAACAAAAGTAAGAGGGATTCCATTTCCTAGGTATCTTATTTAGTAAAATTAAGCAAAGCTTCCTGATTGTAAAGTCCTTCATGATGATAATAAGAGTATGTTAAGTTAGCAACAAATATTCTGCAAAAGCATGGCAACCCTTGGGGAGGCCTCATAGAATGTCTGTTATTGAATTGTGAGTCTCATACAACATGTTTTTTATTTGGATGACTCAAACTTTACCCGGTTCCCTTGTCATTTTGAGCGGCACTATCACAGTTCAGGCAATCAACAGGGACCTGGAGGAAGAGAACATTAGATCTGTTCGCAGGAACGCAGGGGAGACAGCATGTGAAAACTGGGGCAATCGCCTCAAAATTGGGGCATGTGGTGCTCTAACAAACTCCCTCACCTCTGAGAACTCTCCTCAGAAACGTCCTGTCATCCCCTTGAGACTGTATCAAGTCAGCTTGGATGTGACATTGTAAAAATGCTATAGATGCAGCAGGAAAAATCATTTCCTCTCTTAAGATGATTATTACGAACAAAGAACTCATGTCAAAAATGAATAAGCTTACCTTAGGAGTTTAATAAGCACTGACTGATTGGTGGAAGAAGAGGAAAGATGAACATTAGGAAATTTTGTACTTCTTATAAGTTCATCGTTGGCAGTCTGGGTTGAATAAAGAGGGTCAGTCAGAAAGGAAAGTTGGCTGAAGGTCAGAGATGGATAATAAAAAGAAACAATTTTTTTTTTACTCAGGTAGTCTTATGTATTGTTGGTAGTGTCATTCTTAATGTCTAGTGTTTCCTATTAGAAGCATTGAATAGGCAAATAACAAGCTGGTCAAGAATGGAGCCATTTTACAATTAGCCACATTAATGGAAGACAAAAATGTAGTGGGGGTATTGGGAAGAGGAAGAGAATACATGCACTTAAGTGGATAATTTGTCATTAATTCAGGCTCCCATTGGCATTGATAATGTTTCACAAAGATTTAGAATTTAGGGAATACACTAAATGAATAAATGAGGAACATACAGCAGTAAGTGTGAATAAATTTCCCCCAAGGCCAGTGTGCGTCCATTACAGCTAAAGAATATTTCCTGTATCCCTACCAAGTGCCAGGTAATGCTCTAAGTGACCTCTGTGATTAACTTATTTAAATCTTCACAGAAATTGGAATTGTTATTCCCATTTTTACAGGAAGTGAAACTGAAGCACAGAAAGGCTGAGCAACTTGCTCAAAGGAGCACAAGACTAAGCAGAACTAGCATCCAAAGCACATTATTGTGACTCTTCATCACAATGACCCTAAACTATGAGAACAAAATGGAACTTGGACCTGGAGGAAAAGTAAGGTATACATGGTTAACTAGCTTACTTGTAAGATGTTGTGTTATGTTTTATTCCCTAATTGCTGGTTTAAAAATATTCAACTGTAGAAATAGTTTGATAATAACTAGTTGAGCAAATAGTGGTATAATACCATAATCATTATAATAAACAATGTTCTTTAGTTCTACAGGACCTCATTACCAAATGATACGTACTTTTTTGTTCCTTCTTTGGATGTAAAGAAACTGAGCTCATCAAGCATTGGATGTAGTAGGTGTTCCTAGTCAGTGTGTGTTGATTTGAATAAAATTTTATAGACATATTGACTGAATTAGATTTTATCAAAACATATTCGTATTAAATGATAATCGTGGATGCTAGATTGAAAGCAGTAACTTGGTTAAAGAAGACCACAGCAATTTTTGCAATCCGTTCCGTTTCTGAATCTCTGTTGGAATTGTGTGAAACTCATCCTTAAAAAAGTTCTATTTTACTGAGGATGCCAGTTTATAATAATGTCTAAATGTCATTTGTCTTTTAGAAAACAGAATAATGAGAAGAGCTCAAGGATTTGAGAGAAGGTTTTGAACATGGTGATGGATGAACAACACTTGTAGGAGAAATGAAGATACTTTCTCATCCCTGGTTGACCCAAGTGTCTGGCGCCCAGTGAACGTGATAAGAGATAATGGAGTTTGTGAAGGGTACACACGCAGTGATATTGTCACCTTTCTAAACAGATGCCATTGCAGACATTTTGCTAGCCCTCTTTTCACTGTACACACAGCTTGGTATACCTCGTGTATTAACCCTCAAATATTCTAAGACAGGGCTGAGCATAGGGTGTAAAATTGAATGAATGGAAGAAGATAAATGCAGAGAGAAACATTTATTTAACCTCAGAAAGATAGACACGCAGTATATTGGTGTAATTGTATATTGATATATACTAGTATATCTTCAATTGGTCTATGAGTATAGAACTATTGGACTATTTTTTATGTGATTGTTCCTGCTTAGTTTTAGTAAAATATTCCAATTTGAGGGAAATTCTTCTTTGCCAAAAAGATATAAAAAAAGGAAAACTTTAATACATTTTTTTTTATTTTGGCATATTATGGGGGTTAGGGTTAGGGTTAGTGATATTATATTTAATACATTTTTAATTCTTCCTCCAGAATTCATGCTAGTTTTTCTCTCTCGTTTCTTGGTATTTCTTCTGTGCAAGTCATTCTTATATACGTTTCCACTGTATTTTTCATGAAGAAGATATAGTGATTACCAAAGAGAAGCAGACAACATCAAAGTAGAACTTTATTTTTCCCCATGAAATCCTTCTAGACTTGTTTACATGTAATATCCTTGAAGGAAAGAGACATGTCTGTATTATCTTTGTTGGCATCTGGCACATATTAGGTACACAGTATATTTTTTGACTCTATCAATTAATAATAAAAAATGGATGAAGGAAGTAGATGTTTTTGTGAGCCTTCCAAAGAAATTTATAGAATATTTTGGAAACAGGCCCATTTTATTTCCAAAGGAAATTTTACTTTCAAATAAAAAAAATTCACCCAAATGAGGTTTTGGGGGATTTCATACTCTTTACATTATCTTGTGGTAATTATACAGAAATCTCTATTTATGTAAACACAGTAAATGCATCATAACACTAGAATAAGTGTACAAATACTGCATGTCAAATTAGGTTATAATCACTTTCAAGGGACGTGATTTCCTAGCTAAACAGATTCGTTTACATTTTGCAAAATAAAAAATAAGTGAAAATAACTATATAAAATCAGGCTTACAGCTGGACAGATCTTCTTGGCAATGGTCCAGACACTGAGCAAGGGAAGTCCCTCCAGCTGAGGAATGCTCAGGACGCCTGTGCAGGGGTGGCCGGGAGAGGGGCCCTTTTGGGGGCTTCCTTGACTGTGCACCCTGTCCCTGGCTACCTTTCGGGAGAGACGCTGCATTAACATTTAAGATGAGACTATGAGGCAGTTGGGGTGGGGGTGGGGGTGTGGACTGGAAACTTGCTTAGTAGGGGAGAAAAAATAAAGGCAGTTCAACATTTCAACCTTAGATAAAAAATGTAATAGAAAAAGTCAGGGATCCTCTAACTAAAAAGCAAATAGTTGAAGCTAGCATTGGAATTATTGAATTTTAGAGTCAGGGTTTGAGTACCGTGGATCGTCTCATCCAATCCTTGTAAAACAGATGAGGAAACTCTGCTACAGGGCAAGACACAGTGCAAAGAGACCTGGAACTTTGCTTCTCAAATCTGGTGCTTATTTATGAGATAATTAAAGCTCATCCTTTCAAGAGAGATAATTACTTAAAAACTCATTCCAATGCGTATCTTTTAAAAAATGCATTAGACATCTCCCCGATTTAGCCGACACTTTCTGCAACATTCCCTTATTTTGATGGCAAAAGAGCGTAATTGTAAACCTCAATTCCAACATCGTATTATATAATATAGTGGCATGCTCTGTGGCCAGTTGATTTTGCAGAGGAGTTTGCCTTTCACTTAGCTTCAATGAACATTAGCTTCAAATGTTCATTGACATTAATAAGAGCCAGTTTGCTAAATCTGTTCACGTTCATTTGCTACTTACTTTTGTTGATTCCAAGAGGTTACTAAAATGATTTAAAAAAAAAAAAAAAAAAACATAGATTCTCACTTGGAGATAGCTCCATATTTCTGCTATTGAGTAAAGTAGGTGTGTGTGTATATGTGTGATTTAATGTAATCAATACTAATTTGCATTCAAAATATATTTGTTGAAGACTTATTCTCTGCTGTGTTGTTCATACATTAATTTCTTCTCACATTCCATTCCATTGGTCGAATTGTCCTGAGCAGAGGTTGGTGAACTAAGGTCTGCGAGCCAACTCTAGCCCACTGCCTGCTCTTGTAAATAAAGCTTTATCAGAACACAGTCACACTCAGTTGTTTGTATTTTGTCTATGGCTGTTTTTGCACTACAATAGCAGAGTTCAGGAGTTGTGATGGAGACTATATGGTCCTACAAAGACAAAAGTATTAGCTATCTGGCCCATAATAGAAAATTTTGCCAACTTGTGGGCCTGAATGTGAACACTTAATTATCCAGCTGGCTTGATAAGAGAGCTAAATAAAATAGATGACATCAAACTTCAGCTACCCCATTCACTATTCACACTCAAGTGTCTGTGGTTACAGGAAATAAGCATGGCACTAAACAGGGGAGAGAGAATTAGCAAAACCATATTCTTTTGAGAAAGAGAAAGCTCTTCCAGATTTGTTTAAATTATTTTCAAATCCTCCTGTTCCTAGAACCATCCCTAATCTGTACTAATACACAAACTTGTAGCTTTTGCATTACAAATTTATTGTTATTTCTTTTACCTCCTTTTTTATTCAGGAAAAAGGTAATTAGGCTATAAACAGAGGTCTGACAACTAATTTCAGTCAAAGCAAAATTAATACAAAGCCAGCAGATAATTTTAGCCAAGTGAAATTAAAATAGATATATTTTAATGGCATTCTAAAAATCCAAGTCTCATTTTTTTCCCTTTTGTTTTCCCCACCTTCCCCTGTTCTCATGCGAACTGCTGGTCTGTGTAAGTAGTGACATGTGCTGATTTACGTGAACTACCAGCTCACTGCTGTAGCCATTCTCACTGCTCTTTCCCTCTGTCCCCACAATTGATTTTTGGGTGGAGAGCCACTTCTTCCTTTTCCTTCTAAGGGGTTTCTTTACACTGAAAAGACAGGACCATCTGCGGGAAAGGTATTCTCTCCCCACCCCTTAAATTTTCAAATGTTCATTGACATTAATAAGAGCCAGTTTGCTAAACCTATATTGGGCTTCAAGAATTTAAAGGTTAGTAGCATTGTGTGTCAGTTATGTGTATGTGTGTGTGTATTTCCAGGGGGAGATTCCAACATTGCTGTGTTCTGTCACTCCATATTAAATATGCATCTCAATGTCAGCGGCACCTTGAGATGTTATCTCCAAAATTATCACCTGCCTTCTGAAAACCATAACCCTAAAAATATTGATTGGTTAAAAGGCAGGATCTGAAGGCATGAGTCAGTGTCTCCCTGGATTATCCTAATCAAATAAGGATAGTATTAACCCAGATACTCACTGATCTGCCAGTATTTGGTTTGAAATGTAGGCATCTCAACTAAAGTTATGTGTTTCATTTTTTTGAATATTTCTTCCAGACATTTAAATACATTACCACTAAGCCAGAACCAAGAAAAGCATAAAAAGCATTTTAGGGAATAAATTCAGCAAGTTTCCATTTGTACCAGATAGTAAAATTGTTGACATGCATTAGGAGGCTTGTGTATTGTTCAGCCTGTCAGTTTTTGGTCACATGCTCAAGGTATAGTATTTTGGCTGCCAGGGGTTATGCAGAAAGGTCTCAGACCTTTTAGGTGGCAGTGCTTCCTCATAAATAGACAGTTTCCAAGCCACCTGGCATAGCTATTTAGGCAAGTCTAAAGCAAGCTTATTTCATTAATTATGCTACAAATGTAATTTCAGTGAAGGGTAGCCAGCTAAATACAGGATGAGAGGACTGATAGGGATTCTCTCCATGGAAGAAGTGTTGAGCTTTATGCAATTTTATTTAGAGGCACTACCATTACTAAAGAGGCTATGAATTGATCAACTGTGTCTTAGAATTAACTGCAGTGGTGAAAACACAAATTGCAAACCAGCATGCAGTCACAAAGGGAAAGGAGAGAAGAGAAGAGGTAAAAGTCGGGACTCACATGTACTATTCATTTTCCTTTACACACGTAAGTATTGGACCAGCTACCCGGACTCCAGCATTCGTAGGAGCATGCGGAATTCTCATCTGCCAGAGGGCCCAAGGAGAAGCGCTACTCACAAGGAGCTTCCTCTCTGTTCTCATATGCTTCTGTCTTCAGAGGAGTCTACATGATTGTTGGAGGCAAACAATTATGTTCCCTTTGCTAGATGTGCTAGAATGAAATATGATTGGGAAGGAGAAGGAAAGTCTAGACTGGAAAGTATTGGGACTGTGGGTTGCTTTGTGGGCCATTGAAGAAGGTTTGAATAAAATAATCTTTGTTGGGGGGAGGGAGAAGGGGATTAGTGCTTGGAGCTGGCTTGGTGACATCAGTATCTTTGAGGCTCTTGGTGGCACTACTCATCCCTTCAAGCGAGTGTCAATCACACATTCTCTGTGTTCCCTTTGCCCTTTTCATTGGAAAAATCTAGCACGTATCAAAATTAAGCTCTAGTCTACACCAGAATGATAACCGTTTTCCCTCTTTTCCTGATTTCTTGACTGATTTTTCTCAAGATTCAGGACTCAGAAAAATATTTGTTTCCCACAAATGGCCAAATGGGATTTCTTCATGAAAACACTAATCACGATCTACTGAAGAGTAACTCTGAGTATCCTGTTATATATGTCTTTGTGTCTCCTATGGTAATAGGAAGAAATATTTTGTTGACTAAACCAATTCTCATTGAAGAAACCATGAAGAGATTTTTGCCCTTTATTTTCATATCCTTTACAGTTTATCAAGTGCACAACAACAAGCTCTTTTTCTTTTGGAAGATAAGCACACAGCAGAGCACACTTTCCTATCTTCGTTTTACACATAAGGAAACAGACTCCACCGTGAAGAGTTGGCACCGGTTATGTGACTGGTAATTGCCAGATTCTTGAGTAGAACTCATTGCTCTAGATTTGTAAGCTTCCTCTGTCAGTCTATAAAATCTTCAAAACCTTTAACCAATATGGAAAACTTGTTTTCTAGTGGCTTTTTGCCTCCGGTGACCCAAAATCAGAGTAAAGCCTCAAAGCATATCTGGATTTCTGGAGTAGCAGTGTGCTAGACCTGACTCCATAGGGGCTGAGCTCACAAAACCAATTGAGCACATTTCTTCCTACCTTCATGTTGAATGATATAACATTGGTAGCTTGAAATTGGCCATGGCAGAGGTGTTCACACAATGGAAATTGGCAAACAGCATATACAAATTAGAAACATCTTCCCTTTTCCTGCATCAGAAAGGTTGTTTGCCAAATATCTACCAGCATACTGCTGATTAGAAATCTGGGCACCAGGCAAAAAAAAAAAAAAAAAAAAAAAAAAAAAAAAAAAAAGAATTTCTATTTCTATTTATTTGTATTTAAAATAAGAATAAATTGAGCTCCAACAATATTTTCTATATGGGTGGGAAATGATTTACACATAAATTTTATTAGTAAACATATTTTGGGGACACATGCTCAAAATATTTTACCCATAGGGTTAGATGATCAAAAATGTTTGGAGACAATGACATAAACAATCACTAGGAGAAACTTCCCTGGGAATATTGGAAGTGTCTCTGAATTATATGATATTCAAAACAAAAGATATGTTCATTGAGGTGATTATTATAACCAAGAAAACTTAAAATCACAACTCAGGGCTACTCATCCCAGAAATATGACTGCATATTGCCTTAAAGCTCATGTCCAGACAAGATATGCAGACAGAAATTTTAAAATGCCCGGAAGAGGGTAAATACAGTTGCAGCACGTTGTGATCTGAATGTG